TCTTCCTGGGTGTGACTGTGCCATGACTGTTTGGTTCCCACCTTCTCCTGCAGCTGCTCATCCCTTTCCACTCAGTGGCTGGAGCAGTGGTGAAGGCAGCCGGAGTTGGTCATGCCACTGCCCTCCGCATGCAGCCACAGCCTGGGCCTGCCTGTCCTGTGCCCTGGAGCTTCCCGCCTCCCCCAGAGCCTTGCCACCTGACCTGACTCCTCCTCCCCTGGCTGAGCGTGGTGCTTCTCTGATCACAGAGGCCCTTTCCACCCGTGGTGCTAGGCTGTCACCTATAGTGTACCTGCAGTGCCTGGGTGGTCCCTAGCCTGGACATCCCAAAAGGACTTTGTGTCAACCTGCCGTGGACCACCACTGTGGGACCACCACTGTGTTCAGTGCTCCTGAGCTTCACAGGCCGGGCCTCCCCACTGCCTGACAGGTCTTGCTGTGCAGGGAACCCTCCCAGGCTGGGGGTCTGCCCTGGCTGCAGGATCATGGTGTCCACCTCACTGATCTGAATCTCTCCAGTGCAAAGCATATGCTGCTTTTTCCCCACCGGACGGTGTCTTGCTGTGTTACCCAGGCCAGCCTTGAACTCCTGAGCCCAGTGGTCCTCCTGCCTCAGCTGCAGAGTGACGGGGACCACAGGTGTGGACACTGTTCCCAGCTCCATTTCCTTTTCAAACTTCCCTGCTGAGCTGAGCTGGCTGTGTGGCTCTCTCACTTGAGGTCCATGTCTCAGTGGCTCTCAGTGCTCACGGAGTGCCCAGCTGCTAACACTCCTCCACTTAGAGCATTTTTATTCCCCCAGAAAGGAACTTTTGTGTCACTCTGTCCCTCCCCAGTCCTGTCACCCACGAGACCACCTTCTGTCCATAGGCTCTCCTGGACTCTTCCTATCAGTGTAGGTGCACCACGCTGTGTACCCCTTCACCCTTCATGGGTACAGGGCTGCCCCCACTGGTCGTGGGGACTCCTGCTGAGGGTGCGCAGGTCCCCTGAGGTCGTGCATTCTGGTCAGGTGACTCCCTGCGAGTTCGGCTGCTGGTTCACACTGCTTCTCTGTTAGTCACAGTGAGACTGTGGCTGTGGCTGTTTCTTTGGAATTGGGTTCCTGCACACCCTGGTCTGGTCACGTGTGTTCTGTCGTGGTCTTTCCTACCGTGGAGTGTCATGAATTGAATCTGTGTCTCCTGAGACCATGGTAACAGCTCTTTGCCTCTGAGCCAGTGTCCAGCTCAGGCATGAGCGGAGGATTTCAGTGAGGAGGGACCAACAGCTGTGCCTGGGCAGGGCGGGGTTGGGGGGCCATGCGGGCCCTGTGGGGCTGCTTCCCACCATCTGTTCTCCCACCTGTCGCAGTCCAGAGGAACATCCTTGACTTCCCCCAGCATGTGTCTCCAGCCAAGGACATCCGCTCGGCCAGCACGGAGGCRGACAAAAAGCTCTCAGAGTTTGACGTGGAGATGAGCATGAGGCAGGATGTGTACCAGAGGATCGTCTGGCTGCAGGTGAGGCCTCGGGCAGGGTGGGACCGCCAGGCGGCAGGTCTCTTTCCTCAGGACTGGAGAGCTCTGTTCTCTTGCTTTTAAAAAACATGACAATGCTGGCTATGGTGTCATCCTGTCATGTTAGCCTCAGCAACTTAGCAAGGCCCTTTCTGATATAAAAAAACTGGAAAAAAAAAAAAAAAAAAAAAGAAAAGAAAAACCAGGTTGTGGCTTAGTGATAAAGTGCCCCTGGGTTCCATCCCTGGTACCAAAAAAAAAAGTATCACATGACAACCACTTCTGGGGACAGACAGCTGCAGTGGCTGCATCACAGAGAGCACAGTTAAACACCTTTCGACTGTAAGCTTTGCCAGGCGCAGTGGCTACACCTTGTCATCCCAGCGACTCATCTGGGCAGGACGGGGTGAGTTCCAGGCCAGCCTGGAAACTTGGCAAGACCTGCCTTGAGATAGGGGCTTAAGGTGGTGAGGGTTAGTGGTAGATCATCCCTGGGCTTAATCCCCGCCYCACCCAAAATAGTCACCTTCTGTTTGCTTTGCAACTGAGGAAAAGTTAAACAGACAAATAATGACAAGAACAAGTCTAGCAAAGCGTCCACTCAGGGGGCTACAGGCTTTCTCACAGGCACCACTGGGTTCCTGGGCCCAGCCACCGAGGTGTTGCTTGGTGACAGCAGCCTGTGCCCACAGGAGCCCAACGAGGGTGATGTGGCGGAAGGTGTGACCCCTGTGGATGCCTGTGCCGCCCTCCTGTCCTGGGCGGCGAGGACCTGGTGCTGCTGTTGCCAGCACGCCCTGGCTGGTGGGCCAGGAGGCAGGTACACCTCCCCAGAGCTTGGCTGCTGCCATGGGTCGGAGCGTGAGAAGCTGGGAGTACATTAAAGCAACTTTTTAAAAACTTTGTCTTTATCGAGGCACCGGTAGGTTCAGTGCACTTGTGAGAACATCTTGCACACCTCCCCCGGTGGTGACATGGTGCACAGCTGTTGCACAACTCCAGGACCAGAATGCCGGTCTCCCCCAGCCCTGCCCCTTGTTACTGTTTACCCTGGCCTGTCAGCTGGGGCCGTTCAGAGCCAAGCACGCACTCGGTTCAGGTCTCGAGTGGACATGGCATTACTGCTCTGGAGTGCCGTGTGCCCAGCCTGTGGTGGGCATTAATGATTGGGTGACTGGGTCTTAAGAGAGTGCCCAGCTGTTGTCTGGGAGCAGCCACATTCTCCCACTCCCACCAGAGAATTCGTCCTTCTTCCGGCCAGCATTTGGTGTTGTCCTAATTCTTCATGTCAATGTTTCCATTTGGTACTTGCAGGAAAAAGTTGAGAAGGACTCACTGAGGCCAGAGGCGCAGCGCTACCTGGAGCGGCTGATCAAGCTTGGCCGGAGAAACGGGCTCCACCTCCCCAAGGAAACTCAGGAAGTGAGTGAGTGGCTCTGTCCCTGGCCCGCCTCCCGCAGTGTCTTCCTAGGATAAGCTCCAGAGCCACTCAGGCTGTGCTGCCTGCTGAATGTGGAGGGTCTGACCTCTGAGCCTGAGAGCCTTGGCTGCCTGCTTCTGGTCCAGGGGCCAAGTCCCTGTGGTCCCAAATAGGCCACGTGGGCCCCCATCTCCCCTCTCAGGGCCACAAAACAACAGGGATAATGGGACAGTGCTGCTGCAGACTGGACCATGCCATGAGCAAGACCCACGTCTAAGTCCTGGCAACCTGAACCAGCCCTACTGTGCCACCACCTGGTGGGGTGATCAGGCTCCAAGGGAACATTCCGAGGACTGCCTCCTGGGACCCTCTGTAGGATTCCCTGCGTTAGCGTGTGCGGAGCTTGGAGCAGGGCTGTGGCTGAGGTTCCGTGAGGCAGATCAGGGCAAGTACCCTGTGAGGATGGTTTGCTGCAGCTCCCAGGAACAGGGTGTGCACATCAGGGACTCTGAGCACTGCTAGGTTGTGAGCAGGCAGGGAAGGGCGCGAGGCCAAAGCCTTGGTTGTGGCGATGGACGGCTAGGCTGGCTCTGGGCATAGGAGCCAGCCCTGGGGTGACCAGTGCAAGCATACAGTGGCCAGGAGGACAAGAGCCACAGAGGTGTGGGCGCAGCTCTGGCAGGTTTGCATCTGAAAGGCACGTTTCAGGGCGAGCCACTTGCTGAATGTAGGAACTGGTCCCCCCGAGAGGGACCAGCTCCCCAGGGTCAGCCAGGCCCCAAGATGCCAAAGCATTAGAGTGCAGAGAAATAGATGTGGCTAGTGTAGGCATCAGGCTGATGACCAGTACTTGACACACAGGCCATCCCGGCCAGGTGGGAGTCCCTGCCAATGGCTAAGGAAAGTGGAACTGGGAGGTGTGTTTTTGGGTGAATCCAGTGCTGGTTACAGTGGAACTAGATCCCACCTTGGGACCGAGGGACTCCCAGATCCCAAGAGCAGAGCCCACCGCAGGCGGCTACAGATTCTCGCCTCGGCCAGGAGACTCGGTGATCAGGAGACACCTCGGGTTGCTGAAAACCAGAGTGTGTTGGGAAGAGTGGGAGCTGCACAGCCCCCCAGAACCAGGTGGGGAGGGTGGAGCCCAGGCAGCTGCACACCCTCGGCAGTGGGTTTCTCCTGGACAGTGGCCCTAGTGAGCAGGGGATTCCGTACCTCCCCATACACCAGCATGTCCCTGTCCCACCTCGTCTATAGAGCCTTGTTGGCATGCCTGGTTGGTGTGCGTGAGGCCCCTGAGGGCAGGAAGCACCCTCAGGACTGGAAGAGGCCATGGGGTCAGTTCCTCGGGAATCAGCTCACACTTGAGTGGGGTTGGCTTTTGCCTGTTTCTTGAAAACCACGGTAGTCAGGTAGAGGGTGCAGAGCTAGGTTCGTCGGATGCCCAGAAGCTTAGGCTGTGGTCTCYGACGGACGCTAACTCCTACTTGGAGGGTCTGGAAAGCTCTGGGCTAGATCCCGAGCAGAAGAGGGCGCAGTCTGGAGCTTTCCAGGGTCCAGCCCTGCAGGTGCAGGGTTATGTGGAGCTTCACGCTGGATGTCTACACCTTCCCACGGGTAACGGGGATTTTTCCTTTTTTCTAGTTGGGTTTTTTTTTGGTACTGAGGACTTGGTACCAAGGTCACTTTACCACTGAGCCACATTCCTAACCCTTTTTATTTTTTATTTTGAGATGGGTCTTGCTAAGTTGCAGTCTGTCCTCAAGCTTGCCACCCTCCTGCCTCACCTCCCAAGTCACTGTGTGTCAGTTGTCCACTGTTGCTGCCTGGGTCTTGGAGGAGAGCTCCGTCCCAGGCAGGCCCTTGATAGGAGCGAGCAGGGGCCTCTGCCCCGCTCTGGGTGCGTGTGCCTGTGTGGTCCCTCCCTCCTCCACTGCTGTTGTCTCTCTGGCAGAAAATCAAGAGCATCAAGAAGAAGCTGAGCCTCCTGTGCATCGACTTCAACAAGAACCTGAACGAGGACACCACCTTCCTGCCTTTCACGCGCGAGGAGCTAGGTGCKGCAGGCTGTGCGGGCTGCTCCTGGGCTGCTGCGGTCGGGGGGCAGGAGGTGGGGCGTCCTCACCTGGCTGCTCATGGGCATTCTGGAAGCCCGGGCCCCAGGTCCTCCTCAGGAGGCCGCTAACCCTGGCTTGGCTGTGACTCTGTGGGGGCAGGAGAGGCTGGCACTAGGTGTTCCTGCCTCCTCGGGGGTGGTTTTTTGTTTTTTTTCTCCCCAATGTTTTTTTAGCCATAGATGGGCATAACCTTGTATCTTATTTACTTATTATATGTGGTGCTGGGGCCTCGCCCGTGCGAGACACGCGCCCCCCACTGCGCCGCAGCCCAGCCCCCTGGTGGTGGTTCAGTCTTCCTGAAAGGTGGGAGCCGTGGAAGCCACTGTTCCCAGGCCTGGCGGCGTGTGGAGTCCTGGAGGCCTGGTTCCCCCTTCTTCTCGCCTCTCCTTCCCCGAACAACTGACTGTGGACATGCCAGACCTGCAGAATGGCCTCGAGGACATGCGGGGGCACCTGCGGGCACTTTCCACGTCTGGGGTCTGCTCTGCCCATCTCTTGAGATTCTGCGCGAGTGTGATCTGAGCTGCAGCAGGAACGTGCTGCACGCGCCCCCAGGACCCTCCCTGAGACCCACCCTTTCTGGCAGGACGGTCCCTCGGCCTTTCATTCCTGTCTTGAGAGCCGGGCCTGTTTTGTGGCATTTGTCTTTCTGTCCCTGAGGACTCTGCTGGGGTTTCAATAAGGCTGGTGTCCCCCGTTCCAGGTGACGGTGTCGTCTAAGGGATGTTGTCACGTGGGTGGCTGCCTCTGAGGAGGCTGGCCAGGAAAACCCGCAGGATCCAGACACAGCCTCCACTGAGTGCCCAGGGACAGTCGGCTGAGCCCGGCCACCCTCCTCGCTTGGTCTGTGTGTCACTGGCAGCGAGACCCACCCTTTGGCTCCAGGCTCCTGGGAGAGCTGAGGCCCCCGATGGCTCTAGAGCACCTGTTCCCCAGCTCTGAAAGCCGCGGCATCTGCCACCACATGCTGTTGTGCTGCCCTGCTGCCCGCCACAGGGCCTCTGGAGTCCAGCAGAGGGGCTCTGTGCAGAGAGGCACACTTGCCCTCTGTGCTGGTGGGCTGTGGGGCGCTGCCCTCCCTGCACTTCCGCCCTTGCTGGGAGTTCCACAGGTGCCCCTCTGCCACCACGTCCCCTCAGGCTGGCAGTCCCTGCTTCTTGCTGCGCATGTGCAGAGCTTCCTGTCTGACCCGGTGGGTCCCAGCCCTGCTTCCTTCTGTGCATGTGCCGTGCTGGGGGTGGAACGCTGATCTCAAGCGCTCAGCGGGTGCTAACCGCTCAGCCTGCAGTCCCCTGGTGGGGCTCCTTGGTGCCCGTGTGTGCCCCTGGGTGTGCCAGGCTTCCAAGCACTTGCCCACCTTCTGGCTCATCCTGTACCTTCCCTGTCCCGGCACCCGCATCGGCCACCTCTCCAAAGAGTCCGGGCTCCTCTGGTGGAGGAAGAAGTTTAGGAACAGGACATGGATGCCAGGTGACTTGTTACTACCCAGGCCTCCTCTCCAGGCTCCCTGCGTAGAGCCAGGAGGGCATGTGGACGTCCTGGCTTTGGTGGCTCGAACTGCCACCTGCTGACTCTGCAGTGGGGAGGGCAGGGCGTGCAGCTGGAAGGGCACTGCGTGCTCTGGTCTTTGGGGCTGACTGTGGACCACCTCCTTGTGGTGCTGGTGGCAGCAGCACCTATAGCTCCTGGTGGGCCCGGGATGGCCAGGGCACAGGAAGCACTCCAGGGCGTGGACAGGCCAAGTGTGACCCCGTTGGAGAGGGGAGATGTCCGTCTATGCTTGGCATGCATGCGTGTCTCACACGTGCTCTATGTCTACTCTGAAGGTCCCCGAGTACATGGTGACCCCTCAGTTCCAGCCATTCAGGTCCACAGCCGGCCCTTTTCCTTGTTCTGACTCTTTTGCCGGCGGCGAGAAGTCGGTCCCCTTCACAGTGGCGGTGATTGTGGTGGGGGAAGGTGCGCGCAGCCCCAGCAGCCCCAGGGCAGTATGTGGCGCCCAGGGGATCGGTTCTAAGGGCTGTGTCACTGCTGCTGGGCCCCGGGACCCCAGTCGGGGCTCCCATGACTGATTTTTGCCCGGTGAGTGAGGATCTGTTAGGCCAGCCCAGAACCCAGCAGGACTGAGGCCCGGCTAGCCAGTCATGTCTCCACCCCAACCTGGAAACTCTCAGGACCCTTGCCACATGCCGAGGCTGCCTCCCAGGGGGCCCTGGGAAGCTGTCCTGGTCATGACACAGCCGGCCCGTGCCTGGCTCTGAGCTTGAGCATGCAGCCTGGGTGTCCCCCTGCCGGAGGCTCCAGTGGGAAGGCAAGGCTCTGTTGGCACTCGGGCGACCGGACGGGTCTTTGGTGGTGCCATAACAGGAGACCCCCACGAGGGACAGTTCCACAGGAGTGGCAGTGTGCTCACGAGAGGCCCATTCTGGGGGACAGGTGTTTGCCTCCTAGCTTTCTGTCGGTTCTTTGCTGCTCCTATTTTCCTTCTTAGCATTTGAGGTCCCCTGGCATCCCCTGTGCATGGGTCTGACCAGGGCTCCACCACCCCCATCGTGCCACACGAGCAGCCAGGGCAAGGCTCCCTGTGTGCCCACTCCACGTTCAGCTCTTCTGGCCCCGAGGGTTTCCTAACGAGAAGGCTGTGGGTCGCCCAGGTGCAGAGTCCTGCTGAGGCCACGGAAGGGTGCTGTCCGGAATGACCACTCCCTGCTGGCTCCTGTCCCAGCCTTTGCACGAGGGAAGCCCATGCCTTCCCTGCGCTCCCTGGGCCCGCTGTGGCCGTGCCATTCACTTAATACCAGTGGGTTCTGTCCCCACAGGAGGACTCCCTGAGGACTTTCTGAACTCGTTGGAGAAGACTGAGGATGATAAGTTGAAGGTCACCCTCAAGTACCCCCACTACTTCCCACTCCTGAAGAAGTGCCATGTGCCCGAGACCAGGAGGAAGGTGGAGGAGGCCTTCAACTGCCGCTGCAAGGAGGTGAGTGGCCTCCCTCGGCCTCYGCGGCTGGCCCAGGTACCGTCCACTCGGGTGAGCCGCCTCCATGGCTTTTTCCCCGGGTCCGTCTGACCTCTGCCTGCGTGGCTTTAGTGACCCACTGAGGCCTCCCTGTGGGGCTCGGTCTGTCCCTAAGTGGTGTCTGTCAGGTCCAGCTCTTCCCTGGGCACAGTGGCCCTGGATGCCCTTTCCCAAGCTCTCATCCAGGGCTGCCCCAGGCATGGCTCTCCAGCTGTCCCTCACTTGCTGCAGCCTGGGGTTCCTCTCTCACGTGGTGTAGCTGTCGCAGACCTGCTGGGCACAGCCTGTGTGCTGTGTCCAGGTGTTCAGGTTGTGCACTCCCCATACACAGTCCTGGGTTTCCACACTCCTTGGATGGCCAGGTGGCCTCTGGGTGCATGTCCTCATTTAGCATCTCTTGCAAGGGGCAATGGGACTGGCCCCCTTGGATGCCCCAGTGCCACCACATCGGTGCCTGCGCGACTGGGAGGGCTGGTGGCAGGAGGCCCCCCAGCAGAGCAGGTTCTACGCCTGAGGATATGCTGCCCTGGGCGGAGGCAGACCACACGGGGCTCCAGGGACTCCCCACGACAATGAGAGGTGGGGTGCACCTCCTGTAGAGCAGGCTCTGGCCAGGGCACCACAGCCTGGTGTGGCCCTGGAGAGTCCTCGCCCCGAGTCCCACCTGAMCCCCCAGGCTTTAGGCCAATGGCAGAGTACAGGGCACGCTGAGACCCAGATTGGAGTGGGACTCTGTGTCTGGCAATGTGGAGGTGGGCACTGCTGGACGTCCCCTGGGTCCTCTCATCTGAGTTGGCCACACAATCCCCGGCTTTAACCGGGCTCCGTGGCCGTGGTACTCAGGGTGTGTCCTGTTCGAGCAGCCTCTGCTGATCCTCAGGGAAGCGGGAGGCAGTGGGTCTTACTGTGGGTGTCCACAAGTCCCTGTGGTCGGCTGGCTATGTGACCTGCCAGGTCAGTCTGCTCTGCCAGCCTGGTGGCAGTAGACAGAGCCTGGGATGGCCATAACCTAGAGGGTGTGGTGTCCCCAAGCACAGCAGTGCCACTCCTGGGGCCATCCCTGCCCCGCGCATTGCTTCCACTTGTGGCATGGGACCCCTTCCAGACCTGCTGGGCACAGCCTGTGTGCTGTGTCCAGGTGTTCAGGTTGTGCACTCCCCATACACAGTCCTGGGTTTCCCACACCCCTTGGATGGCCAGGTGCCTCTGGGTGCATGTCCTCATTTAGCATCTCTTGCAGGGGGCAATGGGGCGGGATCTGATTCTGGAAAGAGCTCAAGGGCACAGGCACCTGAGGTGGGCAGCCTAGTGCCGAGCAGCCCAGGCTGTCAGACGCAGGACGGCGAGGGCTCAGGGGGGCACCCCTGGCTCACGGGCTGACGTGTGGTTGCAGGAGAACTGTGCCATCCTCAAGGAGCTGGTGGCCCTGCGGGCACAGAAGTCCAGCCTGCTGGGGTTCCGCACACACGCCGACTACGTCCTGGAGATGAACATGGCCAAGACCAGCCAGGCCGTGGCCACCTTCCTAGGTAACCTGTCCCCACCTGCACTGGTCCTGGGCTCCCCCTGGGAAGACCACGGGGCGGCCCAGGTGTGAGTCGATCCTGCGGCTGTTCTCTGGCCTGGGCTGCTGCCCACGCGCTGGGTCTGCTCCGTCCACGCACCGTGACCCTCACCTGTCAGCCTCYGTCAGCCTGCAGGGGCTCAGTGGGCGTCACGGTCCATTGTCCAGGCTCTGAAGTGAGGCCTCTGCCTGGCGCCTCCTGGGGCCTGGGGCGGGGAGCCCTGCCCTGGCATCCTCCTGTGGAGTAGAGGACGGCGGACACCCGCCTGCGCGAGCTGGGGGCGTGGCATGGTGCCAGCCTGGCATCACCGGTGTCCTCGCTCTTGAGCTTGCGTCCTCGTCTGGGGGGGCCGGCAGGGCCGGGCCAGCGTGCTGGACCCAGCATGATGGAGCCTGCCTCCCCAGACGAGCTGGCCCAGAAGCTGAAGCCCCTCGGGGAGCAGGAACGCGCCGTCATCCTGGAGCTGAAGAAGGCCGAGTGCGCGAGGCGGGGCCTGGCGTTCGACGGGCGCATCCACGCCTGGGACATGCGCTACTACATGAACCAGGTGGAGGAGACGCGCTTCCGCGTGGACCAGAACCTGCTCAAGGAGTACTTCCCCATGCAGGTCGTCACCCGGGGGCTGCTGGGCATCTACCAGGAGCTCCTGGGGCTCACCTTCCACCTGGAGGAGGGCGCCACCGTGTGGCACGARGACGTGCGGCTGTACTCCGTGCAGGACGCAGCCTCCGGGGAGGTGATCGGCAAGTTCTACCTGGACCTCTACCCCAGGTGGGCATGGCCGGGCCTGGGGAGGGAGGAGCCTTCTGGGGAGGAGCACTAGGGCCTGCCTGGTGAACCTGGTGGTCACCATCGTTTCACTCTGCTCCCCAACACGGCTGCTGGTGCCTGGGCTACTTGGCACATAGGGAGCGCCCTGTGGCCTGGCCTCGGGCTTCACGCTGGGAGGCCCTGCCCAGGGAGTGGGGCCGTGGGGTCCTGAGGGGTCCTGAGGTCTGTGATCTGACGGGCTGCGGGAGCTGGAGTTGGGTGGTAGAATGGGACAGCCTGGCATCTTGTTCCCTGGGCCTGACCCGCCTCCTTGTCCAGGGAAGGAAAGTACGGGCACGCGGCCTGCTTCGGCCTGCAGCCAGGCTGCCTGCGGCAGGACGGGAGCCGCCAGATCGCCATTGCAGCCATGGTGGCCAACTTCACCAAGCCCACCCCGGACGCCCCGTCCCTGCTGCAGCACGACGAGGTGGAGACCTACTTCCACGAGTTTGGGCACGTGATGCACCAGCTCTGCTCACAGGTGGGTGAGGGCTTGGGGGTCTGCCGCCCGTGGGGCTCTGCCCCGGACATCACCATGGAGATGGCGGCCCCACCTTGACTGTGGCCCAGGGCTGCCATCACCAGGTGCCACAAAACCGATGGCTCAGTCGTGGGCGTGATTTCCTGGCGGTCCCGAGACAGCCCMGCCGTCCCATGGGGTGGCTGCCTCCTCTGGGGGCCTTGGCTGGCGAGGGCATCTTCTCTCTGTGCCTTGAAACCGCCCCCTTGCCAGCCAGTCCTGAACTCGACAAGTCGGGATGGACGAGGCCCGCCTGATGCCCTCTGGGAGGTCCCCGGCACATCACATTCTTTGGTTTGAGGGCTTAGCACCTGCACGGTGGCTCTTGGGAGGACACAGTCCAGCCCCAAGCCTCGCGGAGCTGCCGACGTGCTGGGAGAGGTGCAGAGGCCGCCTCCTGCCGTTCCTGCCAGGGACCCCAGGAAAGCCAGGGGACCCAGTGGGGCCTTGGAAGTGGGCTCAGAGCTCCACCCCGGACGGAAACGCTGCGCCCAGGGGACCAAGGTGTGGCAGGCTGCAGCCTGTGTCCTGTGGCAGCCTGGAGCCTGCCCCTGGACGAGCTCTGCTGCCTCTCGCTGTCCCACTGCGCTTCTCCCCCCACCAGGAACGTCCTGAGACGGCAGGCAGGAGCCCTGGGGACCGCCACGTGTCGACTTTAACACATCCAAGTTGTCCAGCCTCCTGTGCCCCAAAAAGAAGCCCATCCCGTAGTAGTCACCCCAGCCCTGTGTCCTCAGGACCAAGATGAGCCAGGGGCATGTCCCATGGAGCCACACCCCAACCCTTTCTGTCTTGAGACAGGGCCTTGCTGAGTTGCTGAGGCTGCCCTTGAGCTTGCCGTCCTGCCCCGGCCTCGCAGGTCACTGGGACTACAGCTGTGTGCCACCGCGCTGGCATCTCCCCAGCCCTTTGTACCCACGCATCCGCTTCCTGCCTCAGCACGGCCCTGTTTGACGTTTCCTATCAGTGGAGTGGCGGTGACGTTGTGTCTGGTCCCCAGGGAGCACAGTCCACACTGCCACATTGTCCCCTCGCTCCTGCTCGTGGCCGAGTCCCAACTGTGCAGTTCGCTCCTTGGTGGCCTGAGGAGCACGTGTCTAACCTGGACGAGGCTCACTCCGCAGTCTTTATCTAGCTGGGCTTTTGTCACTCTGTGACCTGCCTTGCCCTCTCTAGGGGTCGGCTCCGTGGACAGGACAGAGGAGCACAGGTGGCTGCCATCTTCAGTAGCCCGGGAGCGTCCCTGTCCCCATCATCTTCAGGCGTCACAGGCTGTGGGGAGGGCTGTGCCCAGCACGTCGCCTGCGGGCCCACCTGTGCTCAGGAGGGCGGCCTGCACGGCTGTGCCCAGGTGCGGCCAGGTCGGGTGTCTGGAGCAGGGCGTGGAGCTGAGGCCTCCTGTGCCCCACAGGCTGAGTTCGCCATGTTCAGCGGGACCCACGTGGAGCGGGACTTCGTGGAGGCCCCGTCCCAGATGCTGGAGAACTGGGTGTGGGAGAAGGAGCCCCTGCTGCGCATGTCCCAGCACTACCGCACGGGCAGCGCCGTGCCCCAGGAGCTGCTGGACAAGCTCATCACGTCCCGGCAGGCCAACACAGGTGCGCACCTGGGGACGGGCTCTGCCCTCGGCCCGTGGCCCCAGTGTGTCCTGCCAGGGCCTGGACCTCTGAGGCCACCCACGTCAGCCTCCTCTCCTCCCCCTCCCGCTAGGCCTCTTCAACCTGCGCCAGATCGTCCTCGCCAAGGTGGACCAGGCCCTGCACACGCAGACAGACGCAGACCCCGCCGAGGAGTATGCCCGGCTCTGCCAGGAGATCTTGGGGGTCCCTGCCACACCAGGTAGCCGCTTGCCAGCCCAGCCTGTCCTGGACAGGGGCCACGGCCGGGGTGAGAGGCCGCCCTGTGCTGGGTGCCCCCAGCTGCTGTGTCTGGCCCAATCCCGCCAGCCCYCTCCACTGCCGGGTGACCCGACTGCGTCGAGCTCTCGCCCTCCAGCTCCCCAGCCCCTCCTTGGCTCCTGGCCAGGTGTCACTCAGTGTCCTGCCAGCACCCCGGAGGGACACAGTGATGTCAGGATATGCAGGGTCATGGCTGAGGAGGCGGCTCCCCTGGGCGGCCCAGGACACTCCACCCTGTGGCGTGGTCTGGCCCCACACTTCTGTGGTGTGGGGGGAGCGGCGGGTGCCCCTCCTGCTCTCTCCTTCCTCCTTGCTGTGTCTCTGGGTGCCGGACCTCGCTGGGGGCCTCTCCGCCGCACCTCGGAGGCCATCACCACCTACCTGGTGGGTGGGAGTCGCCGTGGGGGCCAAACCACCGCCGACTGGGGCCGTGTCGGGGAGGCTGGCTCTCAGGCCCAGGTTCTCTTGGGCCTTTGCTTCAGAGAAACAGACGAGGGAATTAGGGTCTTGATCCTGAAGCGTGGCAGACTGCAGAGTCTAAGGCAGAAAACAGGGGCACAGCGCGTGGTGTGCATCCTTGGGCTGTGTGCACACGCTCGTGCTTCGACCTGCAGCGTTGGTGGTTGTCGTTTTAGCTGTTGGGGACGCAGCACCTTTATTTTATTTGTGTGTGGTGCTAGCATGGGACCCAGGGCCCCRCACGTGCTGGGCGAGCGCCCTACCACTGAGCCCCAGCCAGCCCCTCAACACGCAGCATTTATGGATTAATATCTCTAAGCACCTAAGAGGTCTTTCACCCGAGGGGTTTTTAGGCTGGGATGGAGGCAGGCCTCGCACGTGCTGGGCGAGCACTCTACTGCTGAGCCCCAGCCCAGCCCAGCCCTTATTTTTAAGAGACAGGGTCTCGGTTCCTGGGGCTGTCCCTGAACCTGCAGTCCAACGCCCCAGCCTCCCGAGCCTCTGTGATTACAGGCTGTGCCCCTGCTCCCAGCCCTTATTTTTGTTTTGAGCCAGGGCCTGGCTGTTGCCCACTGGCCTGGAACCCGCGTCCCTCCTGCCATGGCCTCCTGGGTTAAGGGATGATGGGTGTGGCCAACCAGGGAGTGTGCCTGGAGCYGGCAGCCCAAGCCCCTCGTTGGCCACCTCGTGGCGGTGCCCATGTGACACCCAAGCATGCCCACCCTGCCTGCAGAGCAGCACGTTCCCTCTGGCCATGTGCCCACCCCTGCCTGGCCAGGCTCTGGGGCAGCTGCTGGCGCCTCCCTCCCTGGGAGCCCAGGAGGCTGCACCTGAGCCTCGCTCTTCTGTGCAGGGACCAACATGCCTGCTACTTTCGGCCACCTGGCGGGGGGCTACGACGCCCAGTACTATGGCTACCTGTGGAGTGAGGTATACTCCATGGACATGTTCCACACGCGCTTCAAGCAGGAGGGCGTCCTGAACCGCAAGGTGAAGGCAGCGAGCACGGGTCGGGGGTCTCCAGGGAAGGGTCTCGGCCTGCATCAGCCCAGAGTTCTGTGATGGTCCCTGGTCCAGGACCAGGAACGGCACACCCAGGGCCTCGGGCCCACTGCCAGGTGGCACAGGGGCAGGTAGAGACCAGGCCTCTAGGGCGTGGTGCTGAGTCCTCGGCCCCGTGTTCCCGGACAGGGCCCCTGCTGAAGCCCAGCAGCCTGTCCAGCCTTGCTCAGCCCTGGCCCAGGCCCTGCCCTTCCTGAGCCTCCACCAGGGACTTCCCACCAGGCGTCCGCACTGACGCGGGCCCTGGGCATGGGGTCGCACGCGTGTTCCTGGGCCATCCGCCACCTCCCGCCCTCTGCGCCCAGCCCAGCTTGCTCTGCCCTGGCAGGTCGGCATGGACTACAGAAGCACCATCCTGAGGCCCGGTGGCTCCGAGGACGCCAGTGCCATGCTGAAGCTCTTCCTGGGCCGCGACCCCAGGCAGGACGCCTTCCTCCTGAGCAAGGGACTGCAGGTGGAGGGCAGTGAGCCGCCCTCCTGCTGACACTGCCCACAGGATCCACGTCCAGCCCATGTTCCTGCCGCCCTGTGCCTTAGCCCCAGTCTGGGGTGGGCGGCCACCAGCACGGTGCTTTTTGAGGGTGGGCACACGGGGCAGTTTCTCCCTTGTCCTTGTCACGTCCGGGTCTCGGATGTCCTGTTGTGGCCCCTTCTGGGCTGGAGCTGGTGTGCGAGCTGGCGCTTGAGTGCCCTCCCCGGCGAGGGCCTCGTCCTGTTGCACTAGGGTGTCCCTCCCAGGGCCGCCTTCGGTCTACGAGGTGGTTCTGAGATGCAGCCATTAAACATGTCAAACAAAAGGGGCTCCCGGCTGGTCTTTGCTCTCCCTCCCGTCATGGAGTAGCTGCAGGTGGCCATTACGCTTGGTCACACGAGATGTCTCTGTGACCCCTAATGTCCCACTCGGTCCTCGGGCTCTGGCCAGCCTGTGGCTCCAGGCAGTGGTGTGCTTGTGCTCCGGGCTCTGGCATGCCTGGGTCCCTGGGGACAAGCTCACACTGGGCACCTGGGAAGGGCCCTCAGCTCTGTCTGGCCAAACCAAGGTCCTGGGGTCGCCCGCTAAGGTCTCTCCTCTTCTGCGGGTATCCCCTCTCCCCTCCACCTCCTCCTCACCTGAGCCCAGGACCCATGTGCACTCGTGGCCTGGTGGAGATGGGGCCTCCTGGGACATGCAGCCTGCATGGTCAGCGGCTCCGACCTCGTGCCCACAGAGTGTGCTTTCTCCCGAGCACCCACCAGGAGACTTGGCTGTGACCTTGTGACAGACCTGTGCAGGGTTGGTGGACTCACTCGCTCTGACTCAGCGTGGCTGCGGGAAGCAGCTGTGGTCTTCTTTCCCAGGCCCCTGGGTGTGGCCAGACCTCCAGCCCAATCCTCACTTCCCTGGGGAGGGTTTCTGGGGCTGTGCCCCCCTCTGTTCTCACCAAGCCGGGGGCACTGCCACGCACCTGGTACATGCCAGGGGTTCTGGGAGGCAGGGACTGCAATACTGGCCTGGTCCAGCACGTGTCAGGACCTCTCCAGGTTGCTCCCAAGAGGGCTTCGGGAGGCACCTGGGTGGGAGCTTGGCAGATGGCCTCTCCTGGACAGCCCAAAAGAAACACGGTGTGAGTCTCATGCCACTTAAAAGTCTCTAGTAGGCAGCCAGGCACGGTGGCACACACCTGCCGTCGGCAACCAGGAGGCTGAGGCAGGAGGAGGGCGGGTTCAAGGCCAGCCTTAGAGAGACCTGTCTCAACAGAGTGCTGCRGAAGTGACTCTGTAAGAGCCTCTGGGCTCCATCCCCAGTGCAAAAAGAAAAAGCCACCTAGTGGCCACAGTAAAAGGAAACTAGTGATCCCCCCACCCACCAACCCTTGACGGCCAGGAGCACAGTGACGTTTTGGCCAGGACAGTGGAAACTGCCACTGTGAACACCAGTCCCCACGGGGTCTCCCGCCATCAGATGGCGGGACGAGCAGGGAACCTGAGGGAGGTGGGCGGTGCGGCTGAGAGCCCTGGGGTGGGCCTGGGCTGGGGGTCTGTGCTTCACAAAGACCCCACAGATGCAGCTGTGAGCCGCAGGCCAGCACCACGCCCAGGGGCGTCTCTCGGGCACCTGTGACCCAGCGCCTGCCCGCTCTGTGACCTCTACGTGGCCACTGGCTGTGGACAACAGTGACCTTTGCTCTGGCTTTTCCTTGTCCATGGAAGGGTAGCTGGTCACTGTTTCTCATTCTGAAGTGACCTTGAAGTCGTCGAGCTCTCAGGGCACAGATGCTGCTGCCCGGGGACACAGAGGTAATGTGCCAGGGCGCGCGGAGTCATGGCTCATCCTGGGGTGGTCAGCAGGGTGACGGATACTCCAGGAGGTCTGAGAGGCCACTGGGGGCGGCCACAGCTGGCCCATCGAGGAGCGGCCATTCCGCCTGGCGGACAGCACAGCCAGCAGGGCACCACTGTGCCAGGTGGGGCTGGTGAGGGCACAGGCCCGTCGGGGAGGGATGTGGCAGAATGGGATGAGTGGAGTGTGCCTGGCACAGCCCAGTGTGGCGGGACGCGTCGTCCCACAGGGCAGCCGGCCGGTGTGGGCACAGAACATGACGGGATGCTGGCCGTCCCTGCTCCTCTTGCTCTGAGCTCTGGTGGCACTGCGGGCCTCACCCCTGCCTCCCGCCCACCCATGTGCAGTGCTCGAGAGGCCACCAGAGCGTGCAGCCTGGCCCTGGACGCCCTTTGACCCCGGACACTTGTGCTTCTTGACGGCAGGAGGGGCCTCTGTCCCGCCAACGCCGGTCCTGCTTCCAGCGCCCTCTGTCCCCCCCCCCCCCGCTGGCCCTGCCCCGTGCCCATGTCAAGCAAGCGCAAGTGGGAAGGCGCTGTGAACGGCGGTGCTGGAGCCTGGCCCCGGGGGGACGGCGAGGCACTGGCAGATCCAAGGTGACTGGGGCACTGTCCTGGGAAGGGARCTCGGGGTCTCTCGGAGCCCAGGTGGCTTTACGAAGGGCGAGCCTGGTGGGCAAGCACCCGGCTCAGTCCCCGGGAGGGTGGCCTCTGAGCCTCAGCCCCGCAGGTTCGATCCTCAGCACCACATACCAACAAAGATGTTGTGTCCGCCGAGAACTAAAAAATAAATATTAAAAATTATCTCTCTCTCTCTCTCTCTCTCTCTCTTTCTCACTCTCTTTAAAAAAAAAAAAAACTAAATGAATGAACAAAATAAGGGTATTGTGTCTAACCAAAAAATAAATATTTTTTTAAAAAGAAATAAAGAAAAAGCTTCCTATAGAGCTCATTTCTGCAAAAAATGCATTTTGAAAATAATTTTGTAGCATATTTCAAGTCCCTTTTTTCAAATGAACCAATGATACTTTCTTTGGTCTCCCACACAGCGTTTCAGAAAAGAGACGAAACAGCTGTTCACCATCAGTATTTCCAGAACTGACCGGACTGTCTTAGAGGCCGACTTCCGGAAGGAGGTAGGAGCCAGGACTTCTCAGAGGCATATGCCACATATCGTTTGGTTTACTTGACAATGTCAGCATTTTAAAATGACGTCACCATGATCATTCGACTGCACAGACAGGTAATGTGCCACGGGTCGTTTCTACCAGGCAGAGTAGAAGGGCTTTTCTGTGGTTTGTCTTTGAAAGTTAAAACTGTAGCAGGTTGAATGGAGGCACAAGTGCACAGATGCGTCTGGGAATCCGGGGTTCACACTCTCATGAGCTTCCTTCAGCGGCCCCCGCCCCCGCCCCGCCTTCTTGCAGCCAGGGTTGGTGCTGACGCTGTCCGGCCACGCCGAGCAACTCATTTTCCTCCCCAGGAAGACCCACTGGGTGGCTGCGATTCATGACGCAGAGCGCGTGCAGTGCCTTGGCTCTTAGTCAAGCTTCCACGGGGTCCAGTGTCCTCTGGGGCAGGGGTGAGAGCTGCTTCGTTTTGTTTTTTTTGTTTTGTTTCTTTCGGGCTAGGCTTTTCCCAGCAGCATGGCCATTGCAGGCAGTGGACAACAGACCCCCGCAGCGAGCTCGCCCCATCACACAGTAGGACCTTTCCTGGAGGGGCCACTTGTCATTACCTGAGTCATTTGTACTGAAGGGTGACGGCCATTATTTATGTGGATGAGGAACGAGGACAGAGGGTGGTGTTTTTAGGTTGATATTTGATGTCTTTTCTCTCTCTTTTTGCTTTGCCCTTCTTGAGGAAATGTCTAAAAAATAATTTAAAAACGCCCAGCGTACTCGAGTTAGCCCACAGAGCCTCTGTAAATACTCCCAACGGCTCACGCTCCTGCAGCAGCAATATGGCAAACACTGGGGGTGCTTGAGTGGTCCGTTTAGCCCACTCCCCTCAAAAGCCATCAGCTCCTTCTCATGATTTTGTTGCTCAGTTGGTTATTAAGGGCAGAACGTGAGTTTTACAGCTGGTTGGATCAGAACCTAAGATTATAATCAACCCATTTTCTGCTCAACGAAGGATTGGATTCTCCAAACTTCTAATACTTGGAAAATAGCTTTTGCTGATTTTCCTGGTCAGATAGAAAGTCAATATCCTCTTGATAAAATGACTCCATTTGCCTTAGTAACTGCATTTATTTTTCCAAAATTGTGCCTGCACAACCAATAGATGGCACACTAACGTGCTCTCTGGTGGCTCGACTCGGGGAAAGCATGTTTTACAGTCACGCTCACACAGAGCAGCCCTCGTTTGTGCTTTACGTCATTTTGCCATGAGCTAATTAATATTTATTAATTAGTTACCAAAAATATCGAAACTTCAATTATTTGGTGTTCACCATCACAAGAGTTACTCAATTTGTTTCATACCTTGCAAAAGATGCCACAAATGTGCCAACAGCCATGTTTTATAGGCCACATACAGGCCCACACTGATCTCCCAGGGCCTCTAACATCAGATTGATAAATTGGTTGCTGTTTGTCAGCAAATGTCTTTGTATGACCGTGCCCAAGCTTTGCATTTCTTACATCATCAAAATGCTTCCAGTTTACATAAAAAATCAATATTACTAGACAGCAAGCTCGTCAACTTGTACGTCACTGCCCGCAGTGTGTTAGACACTTCCCACCTTTACCATCTGGGTAAATCCCCATGGATTAAAGCCGAATCCATCATGGCAGATGGACGGAACTCACCTTCCTCGGTTTGGTAAACAGTGCTACGTACGTGTGATTGTAGATACTTACTCTAGATCTGCCTTTGCCACAGCCCATGCAAAGGAAATGCCCAACGTGTCGTTTCCCACTGCGTAGCTGCCTTTGTGGTCTTAGGATGTCCTTGGCAGATTAAAACTGGTGACGCACCGGCTTTTGCAAGCTCTTCTTTTCAACGATTTTGCAGAGTTTTGTATTGACCACAAACAGGAATTCCTCACAACCCCCAAGGTCGAGCCACTGTGCAACGAGCTCATTTATCCATTAAGCTACAATTTAGAAAACTAAAAAGGGGGAGAGAGGACTGGGACTCCCCAAAACAACCTCGATCATGCTCTGTTCATTTGGAATTTTCTAAACTGTGACTCAGAGAGTCACACCGCAGCGGAGCCACACGTGTCTTCCACAGCAGCAGGCCCTTTAGGCCGGGTTTGGTGGAAGGACTTACCGACTGGCCAGTGGAAAGGACCAGGTCCAGTGGTCTTGTGGGGCAGAGGTCATGCGTGTATTCTCCCAGAGGTGCCGCTTGTCCTATTTGGGAACCTGAACGCGCCATCAGGCATGGAGGACCTAGGACCAAGATTCAGACCGCTGAAGATGGACCCAGAGAAGCTTTCCCCCAAAAGGAAGAGGGGAAGAAGGATGGC